ATGATTTTTGAATCTTTCCACATTTTCTGTTCCCAATTAGACAGACTTTAGAAGATATTTAGGGAGATATTAAGAACTGTAATGATTTTCATATGGTTTGCTTTGCATGACTTCTGGCAGACACAAGCAGTTCAATAAATATTTCTTTCTTTCTCTCTCTTTTTTTTTTTTTTACTTCTCATTCCTGCACTTTACAGCCATGGATTCCAGGAGGTGCTGTGCCTTTTGCAAAATACACAATAGTGAGCAGAGGGCTGTGCTGGGGTAGGGGCTGTGAGGGCTTGCTCCGTGCTTGGCATTCCTCAGGGCACAAGACCTAAGGAGCTCTTAAAGGGGAGTCCTGGGGTTGTCCTCACAGGTCTCCAGCACTGCTTAGTATCGCCAGGCCCATGCAGGTGATAGGTGAGATCAGTGGAGTCCCCAGAAGACTGGTTTCCTAACTGGCAGATAAAAGCTGGAGCAAAACGATGACATTTATTCTCAAGGCTGGAGACTTTGACCCCTGATGCTTTTATATCATGTGGCTGATGTTGATACTTGAATCTACCTGAAAGACACAGGCAATGGGAAATGCTGTGACCACAGATCCAGTAGAATGGAAGAATGCTTGGGGTCTCCCAGCTTCCCATCATCCTCAGTTAATATTTATCTTTAGATTGGACGATGGAATAGCTGTTACTGTGAGTAATGGTCCCTGGGCTGTTTTGTATGTCACCAAAGTATTTGTGTTGACCTATACATTCATTTTCACGAAACTCACTGAATTAATTCAACAGAGGTGCCTAGAACGTCTTCCTGATAAAACGGCACTTCAAATATATGACATAGCTCTGCTTAGGCAGAGCCAGCTCCTAGAACAAGCAAAAGTCAGTAACTCATTCCCTCGGGGCCTCCCTTGTTTTCACCTCCCAACTCACGCCCCCTGCTCCCAGGGAGTGAGTAAGCATTGCTCCTCCAGGGTGAACACAAACAATGGCTGAAAAAAGCTCATAAATCTTGGTGAACAATTTCCAGGCAATACCAAGACATAAACTGCGGTTCTAATGACATTCTGGAAGGAAAATTAGACTTCCGTTGAAAAACAAAACACAAGCCAAGAAACTTTATTTTCATCCTGATTCGCTCTCTGAGCTTATAGATCCAAATGTATCTTCTGCTTTTAGGTGAGCATTCAGCACAAGGAAAAACCAAGAACTGACAGCTTGATGAATCCTCTCCACACCTGGGCAATAAATATGTAAGTTTTCTAATTTCATTCACTGAGATGCTCATTAATATCTGTTTTGTTAGCTTGCTGCAGCTCAGATTATTTTTAAAGATTTTAAAAGCTGAAAAGTTAATGGCTTGTGTCAGTGAAGCCATCATTTTCCATTTGTCTAAAAAACAAACTCTAAGAAGACTTGCCAGAGAAATGAGTGTCTTGGGGGCTGTAGCAGATTCTTCCAGTTGCCCTGCCTACCTCAGGAATGATACAGTTCGCTCTTTCTGCCTGTCGGTAACGTTTTCTCACAGATGCAGTTTGCCTCTGCCTGGGTCAGTACACACACTAACTAACAGTGGCGGTTAGACAGAGTTCTGTTGCTGAGGAAGACTC